AAATTGCCTTTAGACGAGCTTTTATTCAATCTGAGCAGTTTTCTAAGCTCAATTGAGACTACTCACTACTCATGATCATATGGTACCACCACATTTTCAGCCCTTGAACGGCGATTGGACCAAAATAAACGAAGCGTCAAGTAGTAAATGAGTTCAAAGATGCTTAGCACAGAAATACCCAAGAATAATCCAAGTACTCCGCCACATGCGGCCAAAAAATCAGTAGTAAAAGTGTAAATCTCTTTTCTGTTCATACTTTTTACATCGTGTTTTCCAAAATAAAGAACAGAAATTGAGTACTTAAATCTGAAAATAGTAACAAAAAATCAGAACGTATGATAGCACACACTCCATGGTGCAGGTCTCTTACGATTCATATGCTAGTGACCTGTTATGCTTTGTAGCTGAATCCCAATCTTTATCGATTCTAGAGTTAACTGCATCATATCCCACATACCTACACGATGGCAAACAATTGCATTTGTCATAAAATGCTTTGCCATTGCTGCTGGTAAATAGTTTCCTTTTTGCCAATTGGTAGCACTTTACATTTGCCCCACCGCAGATTCTTGTGTGTTTATCTCCTGTGGATGAAATAAAAGTGTTTTCTTTGATCAACATTTGGCACATAAAAATCAATAAGGTCCAATACTTGGGGAAGAAAACTTCACGCATCCACATTCGACTCTCGTGAAGTTCGCCAAACATTCTTCTTCGCAATTGATTTTCGTATAAATTTTGAAAAAACGCAACGGACGATCAAAGCTATAAAAGCATTTACGCTGATGTGGCTCATAATCGCGTATTCCATCTGAAGCTGTGATTACGTTTGAACTGATATCAATCAAATTTTGTGTTGAAATCGGAAGCCGTATATATTTTCGTGATGGTGTCGGTATTTCACCGGGCATTGTTAATACTAGTTTGAGTCCTTGGTCAATTCCTCTGCATTGGAAATCCATGTCCCTTCGAAAAGTTTGAAAGAACAGCATTAATCTATTTGAGAATCCTGATTGAAACGCCTGAATTAGGTGATTTTTCCCAGAAGATTGGTTTGCGTATCCACTGTCTAGAGTCCATCCTGACTTATTCAGATCGTTATTGTTTGTGGTCATCATTGCTGGGGCCAATCTGAAAGTACTACTTTAGACTTCCCTATCATAATGAATAAAAACGTTATAAAAACCTACTCATCTGTGTAGACATCATGCACATTGAGAGCATTGAATGCAAAACAAAGCCCTTCCTCAGTTAAAATAGGCACAAATAATTTCGAACAATTTTGCAATTGATTTTGCCATTCACACCCGAATAATTGACTTATTCCCGGTGCAATGTCTTGAATAATGTCATAAATTGCATCAGTTGTAAAATTATCCGTGAACTCAATTAAATGCGGCAATCGAGAGCATGTGTGAGCCAAGGCATTGAGTCGAGCGGTTCTGCATGAGTAAAAGAAGATTGTGTATGGAAAATATTCATTTGTGATTTGACCTAGCAATTGAATAGGTCAGATATGCTGCAAAACATGCTTACCTTATTGCAGATAAATCATCAACAGATTTGATTGCCGATGTCACGTTCAATTTATCTATAACGGTTTTAGTTTCAGGGCAAATGGTGACGGTTGGAAAGGGAATGTTTGTTTTGAATTTGGTATCTTTTGGTATGTTCATTGCCACTGGATCTTCCACCTTTTGAAGCCAAATGTCACGAATCATTAAACCGCACAAACAAACGGACACACCAACGAAAATCCACCACCAGAGTCTAATTTCGATGCGATCATAACATGTTATGGTGCACCATATGGAAATAAAACACATTGGAATTGAATAAAACCGATAAAAATGAGATGAAATGAAAACCTTTCGCTCCAATGGAGCCGTCGTTCGCTGAAATATCGAACGCCATGAATGTTGCTGTCATCACAGAATATTATGAACCATGTCTGCATCCTCCGTACGAAACGAATTATCCATTTCACCTAGAAATGAAAAACATATTCATTTCACATCTCAGTATATTCTCTTTTACTTTTCCGCACACAAAGTTTGCGAAGAAAAGTATAGCGATCATCGTGCGAAAAAAAACGTACGAATTTTTGTTGTGACCACCATAACTTTCGAACCCCTTTCGAGGCGATTTCGCTCAAATTTGGCCAGGATGTGTTGTATGTAAATATCTTGGATGTATCAAAAGTTGGACCAGTTCATCTGGTACTATTGGTACATCATAGAAATTCACCCAACATGTAAAATGAATTTTTTGGCTCTTTTAACACAGTTTTCTCATGGTAAGTCATGGTAAATGGTTTTATAACACGAATATGTGCGGAAAACTACGTTTTGAGAATGTATAACTTTTTATTTTTAGTGATAAACCTCTCGTTTTCCCTTATTTTTGTCTGTTTGACCATCGTGACTGGTCTGTTCAGACGGTGTGTCAGTATTTTCATATCTCGAATATCGAATGGTCCAGAAGAGACGAAGAGTGACATAATAAATTAACTCAATAACGCTTAATGCTGAGACACCCAAGAATAATCCAAGTAATCCACCGCAAATCGACAAAAAATCGCCCATTGTGTACGTTTCAACCGCAGTTTTTGTTTGAATGTATTCGTCCTCAAAGAAAATGGCCAATCTTGTTCGACTAGCATGGAAACCGGGAAAAGTACAGACAGATGAACGTATCACTCTTGAATTATCTCTTCAAAGTGTTTCTTTTGTTTACCTTATGTCGTAAGTTCCATTTCGACCAACTGTTCGTATTGTTTGATCAACTTTCACTCTGTAATCAATAGACATGCATGCTTCTAAACAGTTGCAATGATATTGTTCACCATAATTTTTTCTGAATTTCTTTACGGCCTTTTCATAACAGTTAATTTTTGACGCACCACAAATTCTAGTGCTTTTGTCCCCTGTTAACATTCAAAATTATGAACATAATTTCGCTTCGAACATTAGCATTTGATAGTAAATTGTTATACTTGGCATAGAGAACGGAACACATCCACATTCTCTCATTGTGAAATTGGCGACACACTCATGCAAGCAATTTGCTTTCGTGTAAGATTTGAAGAAGCGCAATAGACGTTCAGAGTCGAAGAAGCATTGACGTTGCTTTGATTGATATTTGCTCAGTTTCTTCGGAGAATAACTTAATCGGGGTTCGATCGCATAGAGTGTATCAGCTAAAGGTTGGATCTGAAAAGGAATGATGTTGTATAGCGAATCGCCTGGTGTCGTTAAGAAAATTTGGAATCCTTTCGAATGTGAGTGGCATTTAGGATTACGATCGCTTGTCCGAGTAGAAAGAGTCAATTCAAGGCCACTTTCATGACCAAAATGGGAAACTCGCATCGGATACTCGTTTCCGATAAACTCTTCGTTATATCCATTTTCCAAGTTCCAGAATGACATATTTCCATGATTATTCGTGTGTTTTATTATGCCCGGAGCCATTCTGAAAATGTTCCATTTATTCAAATTCTGTTATAAAGAATGCAATCGATAAATTCAACGAAAACCACATTGAAAAAGCAACAATAATACTGAACAATTTTGATAAACCGAACAGAGTGACCGATTTCGACGTTTACGTCTCATCAGCGCAGCTCGTAAGAATTCGAACCATCTGCGTATCGAGTCACTTACAAAATAAACAAAATTCAGTAAGAAATGAAACAATTCGGTTTAACAACAAAAGTCCAGTTGACTAGATCGTTGTGTTACTACGTGGATTTTCGTTGAAAATATCGATTGACACTCAGTTTTTAATCGTTCACAATATCCATTTGGAGTTTTTTGTGGTATTAATTTTGCCATGCAAATAAACAACGCCAAACTCCAAAAGAGAATGGCTTTAATCACCATCAATATCGTGAAGTATCAGCATGGCTGAGTGTCTTTTGGAGTTTGGATATTATAAAACTCACTCTTTGTTATAGATCTCATGTGAGCTTAGTGCGTTGAATGTGAAACAAAGACCTTTAGATGTTAGGATTGGCGATATGAACTTGGAACAATTAATCCGTTGCTGTTTCCATGAGCATGATTGAATCGTGTACTCCAGATCGGGTGCTAAGTATTCGATTGTATCGTAAACGGATTCAGTGGCAAAATTTTCCTTAGACTCAAGGTAATTTGACAACACTGAGCAGATGTGAACCAATGCATTCAACTGTTCCGACCTGGGGAAATTGATGAGAAAATTAGTTGAGCAAAATGTAGAACGAATTCTCCAGTGTCTGTAACTCCTAACTCAGTGTCAGATAGGTTTGCGATTAATTTATAATCTTTGCTGAATTTCGATGATATATCCAATTTATGTTTCAAGCTTTTAATAAACGGACAAATGGTCACTGTTGGAAATGGAATCGTGGAAATGTGTGCCTTGTTGCTATAGTCGAAAGTCAATGGATTTTCATTCCAATCCGACCAAGCATTGTGGATCATTGAGCTGCATGTCCAAAGCGACAAACCAAGGGAAACCAACCACCACAACCTAGTTGCAATCATTAAAAATGGAAATTCGGAAGTCGATATCGATGAAATGTTAAAACAGAACCTTTCACTCCAATGCAGCCTTCGTTCACTGAAGTATCTCAGCCCATGAATGTTGCTATCTTTGGTAAATTCCTTGCAAAATATCCACGTCACCCCAATAAGATGGCTCAAAAAAGAATTCTAATGTTTCAATTTAAAACAAAGATTTTTTAAATCATTATTTTACATAAGGATTATTGTCATTTGTCGAATAGTCATTGCTATAATATATAATTTATGGAGATTTTTGTTTCTCCCTTTCATTGTTTGTAAACAAATCTGCTTATCTTCATATTGTATTAGAATTGCGTATCACATCGCGGTTTTTTATTGGTTACAACGGAGCCATGTTTGAAGAAATCAAAATAAAAATCTTCGATTGGATCACAATTTGTTTCTTTTTAGTTTCGAAAAACGTTATCGAATGCATTTCGAGACGTGTGGCGTCCCATCATCAGCAAGGCTATTGAATGACTAAATAAATCAATATAAAACAACATGCGAGTGTATATATGGAAATAAAAAGAATTACATTGGTAATCCCGAACTTTTCCGTACCGTTGGCCTGCGTTGTCCGTATGTACTTTTGGTTATTTTTTGTGAATTTTCTTGAAATAAAGGCAGTGAAAATATAATAATGAAAATAAAGTGAAAAACCGATTCTCATTGGCTTTAAACTTTCTGAAGTTTCATTTTTTGGAGAAAAAATAAGATTCTGAAAGTTTCATGTTGATCTCATTTGCAGAAGTTCGGTTTTTGACCCTCAATTTTTTCCAAAAAAAAATCGAGAAAAATCTTCTACTTCTATTCACTATTACATCAAATACGTTGGTTCTTATGGCAGACAAGCAGAGATGTTCAAAATTTGTCTAATATTCATCCATTCATCCATTCATCCATCCATCCATCCATAAGTTGATATATCCAGACTTGCCCTCAATTCCAGTCATACGAATTTTTGTACATAGATCCATAAATCCATCCACTCAATATCCATTGAACATCCATTGAATATCCATTGAAGATCCATCCAACATCCATTGTCCATCCATCCATAGAATTGAATGGATGGATGGACGAATGGATGGATGGATTTGGGAACTTATGACCGCTAGCCCACAGAATCAGCAATTTATTGCATTGTGTCTGTACATTTCATATGGGCTATAGACCACGTACAAACGTAATGCGTTAATATAGGCAGATTTGTTGACAAACAATGGAAAATAAACAGAACATAAATCTCCATAGAGAATGAATTGACAATGTCCTTGCTATGTAAAAATCATCAAGCATTTTAGTTTTCAATATATTCTCTTTTTTGTATCCTAGTTTACTAATCGCATACCATCTAGTATTAGAGTGTTTTTACAGTGTGAATGAACGTTTGACTGTAGGCTAGGGGAATATCACGAAAAAATTCTATTGAATTTTTATTGGTTTTTATTGATTTTTTGCTTTTTTCAAAAATTATTTTCAATTATATTAGATTGTGCGCGATATCTGAGATTTTTTCATATACCGCGGTATTGCGATCTGAATAGTATTGTCAGCACCACCACAATTTGACGGCACGATGATGAAAATCACACAGAAACAATATTTTTTGTTAGTGACACTTTCCATAGTGAATCTAAAGTTTTTTATTTGAAGTTTTGTGTATTTTTCTATTTGATATGGATATTTTCGCCTATATGTTTATGATATTTAGTTTTGAAAATTTGACAGTTCGGGCGTCCTTACTACGCCATCTTGAATTTTATTATTGAACATATCTTCACAAATCTGCAAAAATTCACATTTGTTCTCAAAATTCAGCATAATCTCAAATATTACACCGTATCTCACATGGTGAATACGAGTGAATAATACAGATTTTGCGAAATATTCGAAATAACATAGATTTTATTGGATTTGAAAGAAATAAATGAGATAGAAATAAGTTTTGTGAATAAAAATCGCATGATATTCCCCTAGACTGTAGGCTCAACACTGTTCTGGACATGTCATTGGGTAACAAGTCATGACAATAAACGTGAAGACTTACCAACGATTGAAGCTGTTTTTTCAACCATAGCTTCAAGTTTCGCAGATGTTCCATTGTTTTTATCTTCGGTATCAACATTTTGGTTTAAATCAATTTCGTTCTTGGTATATCTTAACACGAATGAAAACGACACTACCATCTGTCTAGAGTATTGCTGCTGACTAATTCTGTCCAACCCGTCATTCGCAAGCCAACTAACGGAAATTATATTCCAAGCAACAATGTATGAGTACTTTTCAATTAAACAATTACTTGCGTGACTCAAAGTGATTGTTACTTTGTAACTTTATTAAATTGTCAAATTATTCGTCGTGAATAAGTGGCATATAAATCAGCAAAAGCTTTTCATTTGATTTGAAAATGCACTCTAATACAAAGTAGCTTCAATCCAGATCATTTAATTAGTCGATATTGTTGGAAATTCATACGACTATTTTCCACGTGTCCTACAACAAACTGCGGAAGTTTATATAAATGTTAGCAACGAAAATCGATTATGTTATCATATAGATTACTTTCAAGGTTGATTGTGCAAGTGAAAAACTTCTAGAACCACTAGAAATAAATGCAAGTCAATAATAATGATAAAGAACATTGAAAAATTGTGTTCGGTTATTAGTTTTCGATTGTTTCTTTGGTTCATTAGAAAAGATGAAAGAGTTTCAGAACACATCTCATTGCATATTACCTCGATGTCCAAGCTAAATCGAATACATACATGGGCTCAAGTCACCCTTTTTTCACTGCAAAAATTGTTTCCCATGAAAAATATTCAAACATTTAGACTGATGAAGTCCTCTTTTAAAGCTAAAACCCTTGAAAAAAGAAAGGAAAAACTGATGAAAAAATAATATCAAAATTAGAAGGCCGTTTGCATGTTTTTGGTTTTAAAAAAATCATATAGTTTATTTAGGTATGTTTTTCGCATTTCGTAAATTATTATTTTTGTTTAACAAATAAATTCAATAAAATTAAATTACTTTTCTTCTTTT